ATACTACAATCAAAAATCAATGGGGGTAGCATTCTAAATGTTTAAATAACATTGTTGAGTACTTTTACTTGGGGTGTCGATTTAAATTTACTTTTATTTAATTTACGCGTAAATTAAATGATAAGTAATTTATATTTATTATAAATGTAAATTATTTCGTTGCAAAATTTACATTTATTTGTAAATGTAAATTTTGCTACAAAATAATTTACATTTATAATAAATATAAATTTCTCAAAATTTATATTTATTATAAAATAAATGATAAATGACACCCCTAGCTGTGACTGCTTGATATTCAGCTTATTTCAGATTGCTTTATACAGCTATCTGTATTTATTATGCAAATCATACGGATTGTACCATTTATCACAATTTAAAATTAGCTTATTTATGTTTTGTCGTTTAGATACCCATTTGTTCCAGTTTTGCCTTGTTGATCGATATTAGTCCGATTGAACACATATTTCATATTTCTGTACTAATCTCTATTGATTCTTATTCTGTAATTGCTAATCATCATTCATGCTAGGTGTACATTAGATCCAGTTTTTAACTAGTAAACAGGTTAATCGGTATGAAATGAGCTGGGATTGATGCATACTTATTGTTCACTGCTATAGAACAGTACCTTATGTTTGACATGCTAGTAGTCGTACATCTGAGAAGTTGTCTTTTGTACAATATGCACATTTCGCTTGTAGTAGCTAGACAATGTTGATCTTAATCATATTGGATGGCAAACTCGAGTAGTAGGTATTGCTAACACAATCAATATTAATGTTGATATGGATAATTTGATATTTTCGGGAGTCAGTTTCGTATAGAACATGAGAATTAAAATAGAAAAATGAAACATCAATTACTAGATAAATCATAAAAGGAAGGCAAGAGAGAAGGAAATAGAAAGAAGTAATTAAAATAGAAAGTATAGCAGAGTCATTGATTAGGGAATGCCTACACTCTGAAAACAAGAACATATGAACACAAAAGACTAAAATTCGTAAATGTTCAATAACTAGCATTATAAATTGCAATGTTTGAGAAAATAGTTATTTATAAGAAAGATATATTTTTTATTATTATGATTACACTTCTGTATATGCTTCCAATGGTATTTATTGATATGTAAACTATTGATCTTAATTCTTTTCTTTTATTGCAAAAAAAAACATAATTGTTTTCATGAACAATTTCGATTTATGACACGAATATGGAAGTTTTAATTTTTTTAATATAATAATGAGACTTGTAATGAAATATGTAGCGCTTCACGAAGCTTCATAGACTAAATCGTCCGAATTCACAATAAAATGATTATTTCCTCGACCATTTATAAAAGTAATAGAGTGATAGATGACATTAAATTTTCTTACAACCAATGTAACTCCTTTTTAGTTCTAACACAGCTAGTCTTGGAGAAAAGTCCTTCAGTCGAAGTTAAGTTGCATGTCTTGTGCATTCATCAGTCTCTAGCTGAATAACAGTACGAAACAATACTTTCGATGATTTCAAAATGAAAATGCGAAAGAATGAGATCTCTCTAGACAAACACAATGGCGAATTCCTCTTTGACATAATGTTTAAAATCAGGAAGTATTGTGCTTCCGTCTTAAGCCTAAAGGCGACTATATCCAGCCGTCTAGCTTATATTTAAGTAGAAAAAATTCAATTTCCTCAACGAAGGATGGAGCTTGTCCAAAACCCATCCGTGTTGTTTTTAGTATATATATGGTGGTTATAACTATGGAAAAAGAATCAGTATAACATGTGCCTATGGTGAGTTGATCTCTTTGGAAGGTATCCCCTCTGAAGCCCATATATCTATATGTAGTGCCTGTCATGGTAGACCCGACTGTGAAATCATTTTATCTTTGAAATCGATTGAAAGTTTCTTTTTTATATCGAGCCTTATCGGAAATATCAATTAAAATATTTGGAAAACATAAAATCAAGAGTAAATATAAAAACTGACAATATACTAGCCATAGATTAAAAAGAGATATATCACTTTAAGGCTATTTTGAGAACAATAGTATTTTCGAAATTTTTCATAGAAAAACCGATCTGAAAATGTTAGAAACAATATTTTTATACGTAACTCGATGAGCTCTATCCAACCATGCCAAAAAAAATCGGCAAAAAAATTTTGCTCAAATTTCGATTTGCCGGCACCTCATACAAGTTAAACTTCACTTGCTATTATTATCTATATTCTCGATTCTCAATACTTCTGCCAAATCACTGCCTCATATAATGTCAAGAACCATATTTTCATTTTCATCATCAAATAAATATACCGGTTATCAACATTGTTTTTTCGCTATTGTCCATTCGTATGAAATATATAATGATACAACGAAAAACAATATTCCATCATATAATTATTTCATATTTGATAATTGCAACTCAATAAATCAAGCATATCAGTTTTTTTACTTATGCTTGTATATACTAGACACGAAGCTTAAAAAAACAGATCATCATAATGATCCATAATAAATGCAATAATCACTATATATTTAGTCTTTTTGTGTTCATGAGAATAATACGTCCATCATCATATATTAAAATGATCCAGATACAGATGACATTAACAATCAGCTAAATATAAGAAGCATTTCTACAATATGTAATCTACTGATATTGTCGAGCAACATGTTCATCACTTGTTCAAAAACAATACGCAAGAACTTTGAAATAGTAAAATCGATTCTAGTGGAAACAATTCAGATCTGACACGATCGCACTTCACTATGTAAAAATACCACTTCAATGCACTTTCTTTTCATGAATACAAAATATCAAAGTGTTAAATTAGTAATAAGGCATGGTGAATCAGTGTTTACAGCGAAAAATAATCATAGTCTCTGAATGCATTCGGAAAAATTGACTGTACGAAACTAAACTCAACGAAAAGAATATGTCTTGGGAAATATCAAACACAATATTCTGTCGATTTTCACGTTTTTTTTGTCCTTTTTTCTTTTCAAATTTATTATGAAAAGAATAGACGAAAACAACATACATTTTTGAATTCATCTTTCACATCAATAAACTATACAAATCAAAACATTTCTTCTTGCTTCGAATCCTAAGAAAAAGAAAGAGAAAAAGAAAAAGCTTACATAGGTGCATGTTTATATAAGATGTCCCAATGAAAATTAAAACATACATTTTCTTACCTTACTCTGACAAAACAGCTCAAGAAAAAAAACACAACTTCTCGTGAGTAAGAAAAACGATCTTTTGAAGTTAGTTCAGATTTGATCTATCTAATTTACTACATAGAAATAAAAACTATGGCTTTACTCGCTATAGTTGGCGCAACTATCCAAGTTACCATGCGTGCCTATCAAATAGTTGCTGTTGTGCGTGATTCAGAAGGCATAAATGATGAATCCAAACAAGCTTTGAGATTATTGGAATCTGATTTAAAAACGGCCCAAGATACGCTAGATCACTTAAACTATACAGCTCGTCGAGTGAGTGGAAATGATGAAAAATCATTAATTGGCATAACAAATACATTACAATCAGCAATAGCTGATACTGAAAGAACTTTCGATGATGTGAAAGATGGTCTCACATTTCTCGATCATTTATTAAAGAAAAATAAGGAGACTTTACAGAGAATACGTCAAATGAGTGATACTTTAAATAATGCTCGTCGTAGAGTAGAAGATCGACTACCTCATATACCAAGAATAACAATTAACGAACATATATTACCAGATTTTCGACAAACATATTGTGATGTACCTGACAAAGAGCTTTCTCTCTATGATTTTTCTTTTAAAACTAATACTCGACCTTCAATAGTCGAAATTGCTACTGAACAATTCAATACAACGAAATTTTCCTTTTATATGAAAGTCAATACTGAACAAACAATTTTAAGCTATCATTTGAGAACATGGACAGCTTTAAATCTAAAATCATTCGTTCCAACTGATCTCTGTCCTAGCATTTTAAATTCTGAATCGACTACTTCAACAGATTCATTATCAAGTTTACCAAGTGCACCACTAGCTGCAGCAACAATTGATACAAATAATATTCATCGAAGTCTTGATTTTTCACAATTTCTTATGTTACATGATTATATTTGTGGTATAGCATCAACACATAACTTTATTTATATAGCAACAAAATATGAAATAACAATCATATCATTAGGTAAAAAACGAGAAACGAAAGCTCGATTTGGTGCAGAAGGTGATGGACCTAATAGATTTAAACATATATCACATCTTTATATTCCATCAAACGATGAAACTAATCTTTACATTGTTGATTGTGGTCAACAATGTGTTCATCAATATAAAATAGATGATACAGGTCATGGTCTTACTCATGTTCATCAATATTTTATCATTACAAATGTTCCACAGCGATATAATTTAGTTTCATGCGTTATTTTTAATGATTGGCTTTATGTTAGTGATGATGCAAACAATTGTTTACATATTTTTTCTTTAAAAGCTGAACGCCAATCTCATTATTTAGTCCACAGGCTAATACCACGGTTTTCACCCGGATCATTATGTGTTCATGATAAATATTTATATGTTTCCGACCGTTCAGTACAAAGTCCTGGTATAGTGGTATTTGATGAACAATGTATAATAGTTGATTGGTTTCGTAATCCTATGATAAAAGAAATTTTAGCTATGGATATCGATCCAAGTATGAATAAGTTATATATTTTAACAACAACACAAGATGAAAATGATAACAAAAGAAAACGACCAATGATTGTATCAATGGATCTTCTTGTGCGTCCACAAAAATGACCTAGTGAAAAAATGAATTTCACTGTTTTTGTGGCAAAAAACTTTAATAAATAAATATTTATCTATTCATTTGAAGATTGACTTTTAATAAAAATATTTTTCCATGATCGTACATTCCATAAGAGTATTAATCGATTACTATCAAGAAAATACTTGTTAAATTTGTCTCTTTCAATAATGTTTTTGAAATAAACACACTCATATCAAACTGTCCAATTATATTTTTGATGTTACAGTTTCTTAAACGTTAATCTATTTCTCATGTCGAATTCACATGTTTTTTCTAAATTTCCGAAAAACATTATATCAATTTAATATATTTCTAATACAGAAATACATCAGACGTCTTTGTTTTTATTAATTCCATCAATCATTAGAGAGGATTTAAGAAATCAGTTTGTTCCTTATCATTCAATTAAACAATCTTATAAATATCAACTTTAATCTGATAGATACCACTCATCGAGCATTATCAATTTACACTTTCTTTGATGTAACCTTAGCATAAAAAAATGACTTTTCACAGAAATTGAAGGATTTCATCTTTAGAGAATAACATTTTTTTTTCACTTATTTTTCATTATGAAAGCAGCACATGTATATTTACATATAAAGATTCCTTTTCAGTTAAAAATATTGTTCTGTGCTATAGAAAGAATAATAAAAGAGAACATAGCTAATCAACTTCTACAAGAATATTCCACACTTTATGAATTGACATTACTCATTTTTTTTTCTCTCTTACTTTCCTGTAGTTTGTTTTATGCACACGATTCATTTGTTTGTTCGGATACTTTTAGTGACTCATAACATTTTTCTTCTCGTTTCGCTCCGAAAAGAACAAGATTCAACTAAACAAACAAGGCAAATGAAAAGAATGCGACGGCAAAAAAAAGATTTTTTTATTTAGTTAGTGTTTTGAACACGATCAACTGAAATCAATTAGATGTGTTTTCAAGTGTGGTTATTTGATTCATCATTGTGTGTAGAATGAAGAAGTTTCGAATAAAAAGATGGTTGAAAAATGATAATAATAACTTGGTGTTTAAATAATTTCGTTTTATCTATCAAAAAAAAGCATCGAGCAACAGGCAGTCAATGAAAACTGTTACTCGTCAATATATAAATAAATATATATTATTAGTTGAAGTGTAGAACTTATTTACCATGGAATGATCCTGTGTTTTCTGATGATTTAAAAAGTGTAATCATAGATATTTTATTGTTTTCTATAAGCGATTCGAATAAAGCTGATCATTGTAGAAACTGAATTGAGCTATTAATACCACGGTAGTCGAGATAAACGTTAACTATTAAGCGTATCTTACAAATATATATA